GTAAATTAGTTTTTACCTCTATGTACAGATCTATAATAAATTTACTACCATTGGCCACTGCATACAGTATTCTTAAAAATAATACCCTCCATGATTAAAACCCAGGTATTATTCACCACCAATTCTACTTAATTCTTGAATAAAACCCGGGGTATAACTATAATGATTTACTACTTTTAATATAATATATCCCCCAGATATAGTACCCGGTTCCTCACACAATATCCACAGGTACTATTTAATTTTAAAAATGAAGTTTTTGAATAAGACCCCGGATACTGTATGCAGTGGCCAATAGTACTATGTACAGATTTGTGATATATATTTACCTCTACATACAAAATTCACTAGTCCAAATAAAAAAAATCAGTATCATAGTTGAAACTATATTAATAGGCTGCTGAATGTGCTAAATAATACTGGCAATTGTTGGCATTCTGAAAGTATTCTGCAAGCATAACTAGTATAAACTGACATTGATTTTTTTATTTGAACTAATGAAAGTAAAACAACTTCATTTTTTTTAAGCTGATATGTAACATTGTTAGCAATTCAATTGCGACTATATAAAAAATCAATAGAAGAAATCATTTGGATAGAATCTAGAGTTATAGCTGCTAAACTTTAATGAAAAAAAATTCAGAATAGCATTGGAATCTAGATTTATAGTGCCTTGAAAATTTTTTTTTTTATGTAAAGTTCAGTGTACTGAAATTATATATTAATAAAAATGTTTAATGTACGATTTTACATAAAACTAACGTATGGTGTACGAGTTTATAAATTTAGTCTGTACGGAAATGGTCATTAGTCGCGGAGGTTTAATTAATAGTACCATGCAGTATTCAGGGGCCCTTTCCAAACCCTAAACCCAATTCCGTTTCTAACCCAAAACTTAATCTAAATTAACACAGTGCTACTTATTTCATCAATGATTATATTATTAATTCGTGGACAATCACTTCATGGACTTTGGAGACAACTTCAAGACGACCACTTCGAGGCAACCACTTCGTAGACAGTTTGTCGCAACCACATCGTAGACAAACACATTGTAGACAACCACATCAGAAAACTATATCGTAGACAATTATTTCGTAGGCAATTACCTTGTAGCTTATTTAATCATGGGTCAAGATATCTTAGTGCGGTTAATATGGTTAAACTATCAAAAGAAATTTAGACTGATCCAATCCCTATCTTATTTCACAGATAATTAGTTCATAGACAAGTTTCATTCAATTCCCAGACAAGTTACAGTAGACAGCTTATCCCACCGATTACTGCAATAAACTATGAAATAAGCTTATCTGCAAATTTGATTATCTGTAAAATGAACTTGTATATGACTTAGTTATGAAGCAATTGATACGGATCATTTTCCTCATCCTGATCCAATATAACGCACATCATGTTCGAAAGAAGTCAGTATGTTGTCCTTGCAAACTGCGTTTCCTCCTTCTGATATAAGATTATTATCATTAAAACACTGTCAAAGTGCATCTGCTAATGCTTTTCATCCTTCCGATCCAACTCGTTACTACTAAAATCACGAAGAAAAAAACGTAGTGTTTTTGCAAATCGCATCAGCTAATAACGCCTTTCCTTCTTCTGATCCAAGATTATTGATGAAAGATCCAAAAGGTTAGCGTGATGTTCTTGCAAAGTGCATTCGCTTAAACAATGACACCAAAACGATAATAGCTAGAACAACGGAAATTACACCTACGAAAACATTAACTCAACGACACGGAGCCACCCCAAACGACGAAATTTACATCTGTAAGAACATCCCAACGACAACACCGGGAATAACGACAGCTAAAGCACTAATAAAGCGACGACAGGGAACCACTCCAAGCGATGAATCCACAAAAACACGGCACTGAAAACGATAAAACCTAGATCGACAACAATATACTGATGAAGACGTGGAACCAGCACGGCGATTCAGAACTGCTTCAATAAGAGCAACTCCAGAAACGACGGCACCTACGACTGCGACTCTGAAATTAGCTAGCATTAGCGTTAGCAGAGAAAAATAATAATTTTTTTATAATGTACCCTGCGAGTGCATCTATATTAATTGTATATAACGATAAAACTATTGTAAAATGCGTTTAATTATGAAATTTTGTGTGAAAACAGGTACGGATGAATGGTTTGCGCCTTAGTATTCTACTGTCATACAGTAGCTCTGTGTTCAATACCGGCCGTGTACAGTACTGGTCTTGTACGTGCGGGTCCCGCCTGTGACTAGGGACCTAGGCTGAAGTATCAGATAATAGTAGTTCTTTTTTGTGATTACTGGATTAATTTTATTTTCTAAATTTTATACTTTTAACTCTATTTTCTAGATTCTAGATATACTAGATGTGATTTTTTCTTTTTTGTGATTAAGAAAAGCTAACGATGATTAATTAGTTGTAGTTCTCAAAAAATTTTCCGTCACATGACTGACAAAATTTGAGATCGTACAGTAATATTAAAATTATCTTACTACTGATTCATTATATTATGATCACAGTAACGACTACTACTATTGACTACTAACAGGAACGTAGCATATAAGTTTTCTAGTAGTTTTATTCTTTTTTTTAAAAAAAATAAAATTTTATATGCAGCAAAATGTTTGTTTCTATTTTTTTTTTTTTTTTGATAGAAAAATGGTTATTTCACCCGAAGAGTTGCCAAATGATTGATCACTATTATACGCCGAAAAATTAATTTTTACGTACGTACATAGCCTAAAAAACTTTTGGTCGAGTTGATGGAACTTTTTTTTTTAAAAGCTTGTCTAGTGAATTGCTTCTTCGACCTGCTGTGGGATATAACTGCATCCTAAACTAATTTTTTTTCAAAAGTTTCCAACTGGACAAATTTGCCCCTAATTGTCTCCAGCTTGCTTAATTAAATGAAGCTCTTAAGCTATATTTATTTAAAGAATTATGAAAGCATGAGTACCCAATGTTAAAATTCGGATTATATGGAGGTTTGGATTTTTTTAATATATTCAAACACCTATTCTATCGACTTTTATTCATTAGATTCGATCAAAAGATTCAATACTCAAAAGTTATATCTTTTTGTTTCTTGGTTATTATTGAAGAAAAAAGTTACAAAAAATTTATTTCGATTATTATGTTTATTTATATAACAGTATAAGATGAAATTATGTTATCATTACCGTTACTGATTTTACTGATTTAAAATCACCTAAGTTTATTTTTCGACGATTGACGCAGATATCGCACAGGATCACAAACACATTTTTTCTTTGCACAATTTTACACATCTATATATCAGTACTATATACCGATACGTGGTATGGATCTTTTTATATTTTACACCTATGTTCTTTTAAATTTTCGGTTATCAAAACATCTAACGATAATAAAGCCAAGTCTTAAAAAGATTCTGCATTAAAAAACTTATAATACAAATTTATATATAATATAAAGAAAAGCCTTCTTTACACAATTACGGTTTCAAAATTTTGGTTATTAAGACCAATTCATAACGCACGCACATCTTTTAGAATATATATGACAGAATAAAAAGAGAAAATTTCTACTAATATAATAGTTAGAAATGTGTGATCAATTAAAATTTTTAAATCGTAATTTCTTTTAGCTACACTCGGCAATTGATAGTACGTTCGTTGAATTTATTAGCTCCTTACATAATTTTGATTAATTAGTATTTCGATTACACCAAAGTCACGTCATATTGGTTAAAATCGACGCAAATCTTTTTTAAGCAGGTCAATAAAAATGGGTCGAATGGTCAAAACAATGTTTTCATAAGAATGGTATAAACAGATTAAAAAAAAAAGACCAGCTACTTATCATAATGACCGTTTCCTGTTTCCAATCCAACAGAAAGAGAGGAAAGTTCCAGTAGTAATAAAAAAAAAAAGCATATCATTTACTCAATCAATGGTGGTCCTCATTTCCATTTTCTAGACAGTTGAAGGTTAGGGTGCATCATTCAATGGGTTTATCGAACGACCCGATTGGCAAAGAAATCGATCGCGATTATAATATAAGTCGAAAAATCAGCCATTCAATTATTGGGTTTGCATAAGCTTGTGAAATCAAAAAAAAAAAAAAGAGAAATCACTCGATTTTTAGCATTTGGGTGATTTCTTTACAAATTTTATGCAAACTGCAATAATTGAAATGATTAAACGATTTGAAACGTAAAGTTAGATGTTTAGTGATTGGCAAAAAACAGTATAAGCCCCGCAATAGAAAATTTGTAACATACTTGAGAGCATTCTTTATCAACCTTAAATATCTAATGTTAATAAAATAAATATCGCATAAATTGTGGTACATATCAATATCTTTACTGAAAGCCCTATTATAAGAATATATGTTGTAGAAATTTGTGTTCGCTGAATTCACAATATGCATTTTAATCGGTTTTAACATAAGAAAATTAAAACCAGCTCCAAACTCTAATAAAGTTATTTGAATACAATTTAGCGCAAAGGTTAAAACAGCTTTTAGTAAAATATTTTTAACTAGGTACTGTACGGTGCGAAACACTTAATAACCTTAAAATTCAATATTATAATAATAATAATAATAATAATAAAAGCAAAAACTCTCATATTAAGAGAATCTGCACTTAAAATACTATAAACTATACATATTCCGGGACCAAAAAATAAAAATTTGTATATTATAAAATGTTGAAATTTTTATTTGTTTACAAATTATTATACCAAAATGCACAAGTGTTTCGAGTTTTCGAAAGATCTTATTAGATTTGTATTTAACGCTAAACTATAAATTTCATATATGTATATGAAATAATATAACATACTATATATCCTTAAATAGCATCACGTTACTAATTATTTAGAAACAAACGTAAAATAAATAAAATAAAACATATATATATAAATATTAAAAGATTTAATGGTGTAAAGTGCAAGAAAAAAAGTTGTGATCAATATTGTTCTCGTTGGACATGTTGACAATATTGTAAGGTTACCAATCCAGTTTCTTATCACCACATGAAACTTCTGCACAACCAGAAGAATTTGTTGTTCCTAACATTTGAATCTTTGCTGCTGATCTATCCATTATCCTTTCTTTTTGTTTTTTACCATTTTTGGTGACTTTCCATTTACTGGTTCCAAGTAATCGATCAAGTTCATACGTAGAAGGAAGATGTAACCAAATATGATCATCTTCGACCTTGATATCAAAGGTCATTAATCTCAAATTTACATCTCCTGATAAGCATTCACCTGTCTCCAAAGCAAAATTCTTTTTATGCATTGGACAGCTCACTTTGATAGTCCCATTTTCATCACCTACTATCCCTTGCGATAATACGAATGCTCTTTTATGTGGACACATGTTTTGTGTTGCATACCATCGAGTCTTTTTATCTGTATTATATATCGCAATTTGTACATCCCCATATTTAATGACCTGTCCTGCATCTTCTGGAAAATGATCTGATTTAGCAATCTTAACCCAAGTTTTTTCACCTGGGTTTGGTTTAATTTCCTCTTTAATAAGTTCTTCCGAGAAGTCTTTGGGCCAGTCTGCAGGACGTCGTTGTCCTCTTTCCGTTATGTATTCAATACCCTCTATGACCTCTGTTGAATTGGCAAATGGTTGGAACATAGCACGTCGACTAGGATTTTTAACTACCTCAGCCCATTCACATTGATATGTATAAATTAAACGGGCCATGTCCTCTTCTAATTCTTTACAAATTCCAAGATGGTCATCAATAACGACCCTGCGAAGATACTAATTAAATGCATGAAATAAAAAATTTAAATTAATAAAATATTAATATTTCATATATCTTAAATACCAAATTTGCACATACCTCAATTCCGCCATCCTATATTTTATTGGAAAACAAGGTGAATAAGCAACAGAGTTTAAATGTTGAAAATTATATAAAGTGAAATTATTCAAAGACAAGTAGTACACTACCATTTTTTCGAGCCATCTTGCAGTTCTCGTCAAATGATCGGCTGTATGAATATAGTACATTAAGAATCGATCAAGATACTTGATAGCATCTTCTTCTGAAGCATTCTTTGCCAATATAACGCCGTGTTTAGGTTGGGCACCACCATTTCCGCATACGTAAACATTAAAACCAGAATCTGTCGCAATTAGACCAAAATCTTTTCCTTGTGCTTCTGCACATTCTCGAATACAACCGGATACAGCGCCCTTAATCTTATGAGGTGATCTAATTCCCTTGTACCGATCCTCAAGTTGAATAGCGAATCCCACAGAATCACCGATGCCATATCTACACCAAGTTGATCCTACACATGATTTCACCGTTCTCAGAGCTTTACCATAAGCATGACCTGATTCAAATCCAGCATTAACAAGTTCTTCCCATATTTGAGGAAGGTCATGTTTTTCCGCACCGAATAAATCAACTCTCTGTCCTCCTGTGATTTTAGTATATAATCCATAACTTTTAGCGACTTGTCCAAGGACAATAAGTTTTTCAGGTGTGATTTCACCACCAGGCACACGCGGAACCACCGAATATGTTCCACCTCGTTGAATATTGGCGAGGTAACGATCATTTGTGTCTAGGATACCCCAATGATTCAGGATAGGATCATTCCATAAACTGGCAATAATAGATGCGACCGTCGGTTTACATACTTCACAACCAGTTGAATCTTTTTTGCCGACTTTTTCGATGATTTCTTCGAAATTCTTAAGTTTTTTGATTTTAATAATTTGAAAGAGTTCAGCACGAGTATAATCAAAGTGCGGGCAAAGATGTTGCGTTATAACATGACCCAAAGATTTCATTTCTGCATTGAATATTTCCGTTACAAGTGGTATACACCCACCACAACCTGTACCAGCTTTTGTACATGATTTGACCTGACCAACAGAACGACATTCACCGTCCTTAATAGATTCACGTATCTGTCCCTTCGTGACATTGTTACATGAACTATATTTTTTTTTAAGATTTTAAGAAAATTGAATGTTTGATTATAATATGAAACCTTAAACCTAAGGTTCTGCAAATGCCCATGCCAGATACATTGGTATCAGGCCAGACATCAGTGCCTTGTACCGTGCCTGTGCCCATAGATACAAAATTGCCAGACACATTATAGGCATGAGCACAAACTCGGTTTTTAGACCCTATTTAAACCCAAATTTACTGTACGGGTATATTGAACAACCCAGTTACACACGGGTTAATAGTTAAATCCTGTGGCCTCCAGCCATGGAATATGAACTCATATGTATCTAGGTTATTCACTATATACTCATACAATAACTATAAAAAAAAACCTACCAAATTTGTGCCTCATCAGGAAGGTCATCTGCTCCTGGAGCTTGTCCAGACTTTACACCAAGAATAAGTTCACCAGGAGGCATAGGTAATGGTTTTTTAGACTTGAACAAAGCATGAAGTTTGGTATAATCTTCTGTATCGCCAACCATTATACCACCAAGAAGGTGTTTACCGTCTTTGGAGAATAGCAATTTTTTATAAATCGAACCGAATGGATCATTGTACACCAATGGCATTGCCACATCATCTTTAGCGAAATAATCACCAAAACTAGCAACATGAACACCAAGAAGTTTAAGTTTGCTTGAAAGATCACCACCAAGAAAACATTTATCAGAGCCTGTCTTAGTAAGATTGACAGCTACAACTTCGGCCATATCGTAACCGGGAGCGACAAGACCATAAATCATACCAGCATGCAAAGCAACCTCACCGATAGCATAGACATGAGGATCATTAGTTTGTAGTCGTTCGTCAACAAACACACCACCTCGCGCATGTGTAGTTATGCCAGATGCTTTTGCGAGCTCGTCACGTGGTCTAATACCCGCAGCAACAATTACCATATCCATCTCTATCGATCTATCTTCAAATCGAACACCATTAACTTTTCCTTCTTCGTCAGTAGTAATTTCCTTTGGAGGAACACCGAGAATGCATTTAATATCAAGTTTTTCTATTTCTTTTTGAAGCATTTTTCCGCCTTCGGGGTCCAACTGCCTGGCCATCAAGACTGGTGCCATTTCGATGATCGTCACATCTAAATTCAAATCCTTCAAAGCCTTAGCAGCTTCTAGACCAAGTAAACCACCACCTATGACAGCACCACGTTTCGAGTTAGCAGCGTACGCGATTATCTTATTCAAATCTTCTATAGTCCGATAGACAAATACACCAGTTTTATTCCATCCGGGGATCGGAGGAACAAATGGGTAAGAGCCTGTAGCAAGAATACATTCATCGTACGAAATCGAAAGGCCGCTCTCGGATGTAACGATTTTGGCAACAGTGTCGATATGTTTAGCCTTGTCAGAAGTATGAACTATCACATTATTTTCCGAGTACCAACTTAGGGGCTGCATAAGCATTCTTTCCTCCGAACGATGAGAAAAGAATTGTGTCAAGCCAACCCTATTATAAGCAGCTGATAGATAGAAAAAAAATGATTAGAAATTTTAAATTCTTGTATTTGAACATTTAAATCACGGAACGATGCGTGCCTAAAGGCTCTTCACAAAAAACTTCGATCCTATATTTGTGTGTTACATCATATTTCAAAACCCTTTCAATAAAGTATAATGCGACCATGCCAAGTCCACAGACAACAATAGTCCTTTTATCATCATCTGGAACATTAATCTCGACAATATCATTAGGTGGCATTTTTGAATTTTAAGTAAATGAAGACAAAAAAAAAAAAAAAAAGATAAAAAGATAAAATTTCACGAATGAGGATATGCAGATCAACTACTATGTCATTTATCAAGAAAAATCAGTCAAGACGATGATCAGCTTTTTATAATGTGATTACCACAGGATATTTATTTTGTGCTATATTTTTAAACTTTAAATTATCTGCTTATCTTTTCGTGCTGAACGAGATAACGATTTGTATATTTACTGAACGGCAAAGAACGGGCTACATAAATAAATATTTTTTCCAAATTAAATTTTGACAGCAACCTATAATAAAAATAAATTTCTAATTTCGTCCCTATCAATATGTAAGACATGCCTTATCTGAGGTACACAAACTAATGACTGTAAAAAAAAATGTAAATCGTATTTGATAAATGTTGTACGACCCGTATGTAGATAAATAAATTTTATAGGTAACGATAATATTCACGTTAAAAAGAAGAAAAGAAAAAAAAAAATTGATAACGGTTCTTCGATTTAGGAAATACCCGATAACTCTTAGATTCTTTGACTTACAAATTAGGGCAGATCGACAGATTAGATAAGAAGATAACTTAACTGTTGATAAGATAAGAATTCAATAACATTTGATAAGATAAAAAATTCCCGTGATGTTCTAACGTGGCTTATTATTTCATCACGCATTTTTTAAGTAGAAACTCGGTATTTCTGGTATATTATCATGTTAATGTTAAGGGTTCATGAACTGTCTAAGCCTGTATTATTGATTTATCTAATCTTTTTTTTATATCAATTACATCAATTATACTGTATATACAATAACTATTACCATCTTGAAATAGGTATATTAAAAGATTTGGTTTAAAATTGATAAGAAAAAAGATTGGTTTTAATCTAATCAGATCAAATAACTTAATATTTATATATCTAGTTATCGATTTATACAAACAATGTAATATTTGTCGTGCCTCAGATGCATTCTTGCGTAATCCAACGCACCTCAGATGTTGATTTTTATAGGTGACGCGCGTAACCTATAAATTGGTGCGTAAGCAGTAATTCAAGATGCGTCAATCAACTTATTACTGGAAGAAAACATTAAACCATCAATTTGATTACAAACTAGATTATACAAATAATCTTCAATATTATTGGGTAAAAAACACGGGATTTTTAGACAAGACAAAAATGTCACTATCTGGTGATTGTAATACCAAATGTTGATGATAAATAAATAAAATTAAAAAAGAAACAAAAACCTATTATAAATAGTGATATGAATTGGCAACTAATCGATTATTGCATAATTTCGTGAAATTTGCAGATCAAAAAAAATCACGCGATTCCTACGGAGTATAAAATTGCACAGATACTCCGATAAGTAGGACCAATCATGATTAGGGATGGGTAATGTAATAATTGTGTAATCGATAGTCAAATTTCATTTTTTTATAAATTATTAAGTAATTTAAGAGTCATCGATTACAAATAAACTACATTTATGTATTTTTGAGTTTGGGTTAAATAAAAAAGATCAACCAAATTTGCAAAATTGACATTTCGGTGTAGTGTTATTAGCTGGCAGCATAATTTGCATATTTTCATCATTGTTTGTAAGTGTGGTATTTGCTGATGAAAATCATGGGACAACTTTTGAGAACTGGTTATTTTTTTGGAAAAAGAATTAATAATATTTTAATTGCATTCGCATTTGTAATTTACAGCATACAATGAATATTTTAAAGAAACGTATGCAAAGATATGTAAAAATTTTGCCTATCCCTAATCTGAATATGGGGAGTAGTTTTAATTAGAAATAACCTATAATAGGGTTCTCGGCACGATAAAAAAAAACTTGGCATGCCATAATCACATGGTTTATTTGTGTGAATTTTAAACCTTTTTTTTCTAATGTTAAAGAATGCCTTGGTGGCATGCCTCATGCTTTTATCCAAAATTGTGCAAGCCGCCAAATAGTAAAACCCGCGTTGATGGCTAAATCAGGTGAAACCTGAGATGATAATGTAAAATCCGCGTTGATTATTTAAATATGCAAAACCCGCTTATAAATACCGAGTAAAATCCGCTTTAAAATATGTAAACATGTGAAGATATTACAGCAACCATCTAGTCAAATTCGATGAAAATTTGAACTCTATGGTTGCTGTGATATCTTCACTCAAAGATTATCATATTGAATTTTACATATTTAAAAGCGGGTTTTACATATTCAACACGGATTTTATATAATTTAGCTAATCAACATTTTTACTTAAAATACAATGCTATATATAACTTATTATATATATATTGTTAATTATATATTTAGTATATAACTATTTAAAGTAGCTACATACACAATATTTGTTTAAAAATAAAAAAATAACAAATTTTATAATAAACAAAATTGTTAAAGGTTGTAGAGCTCGTTAAAAAGGTTCTAAAATCATTAAAATCGAGTCGAAATGTACTGGGTGGGGTGAAAAGTCTCTAAACAGGTCATTTTTTTTACTATCTCCGCTAAGATTTATAGTAATTTTAAATACAACTTTAAAATTATTATTTTAGTGATCAAAAAAAAAAAAGGGAACTGTCTAGAGACTTTTCACCCGGTAGGTATTTTTTGCCGCCAAGGAAAAACCTGTCAATTATATTTTGTGTACAGTTCGCCGTCTATGGAAAATCTATCATAATGATATATTTTCCATAGATGGCTAACTGTACGAGTTTCCTAATTTTCCCTCCACCTCTGATTGGTTTTACTAATTATTCACATATCTTTATAGTACACAAAATATAATTGAAAGTCCGATGACAGGTTTTTCCTTTGCGGCACTCATATGAAACTAATAGTAATATTCCCAAATAATACCGTATTTGCTCAAAATAACGCCCAGGGTATAGTTTAAGTTTTGACTCGAATTAAGCTTAATTCGGGCCAAAACTCTAAACTACACTCCCTGGGCGTTATTTCGAACAAATACGGTATATCACTAAGTTGACTCGATTTATAGCAAAATAACGGCCATGGGTTTTATTTTGATTAATGGCCCGAATTAGCTTAATTTAGGCCAAAATTCGAAATTACACCCCTGGGCGTTATTTCGCGCTTTTACGTAAATGAATTGGACCACATACTAGGAAAGAATGTTTGAGACATATTCTTTTGATGTTGCTTTTCATTTTTTTGTAATGGACAGCACAGGTCGAACTTTAAAATTTCGTTAAGATTTCAGTGAGATATCAGCGGAATATCGAAGCTGATATCGACCAGATATTTGGCGCGTATTGCAACCTATCGAATAGATATTGCATCCCTGATATTATATTGTAAAATATCGGATATTTGATATTTTGTTAATAGGAGTGTCGGATCCCCAATATGCCTATCGGATGCCGATAGGTAGCAATGCGTGCCAAATATCGGGTAGCTGTCAGCTTTATAAACGTCTGATACTCCGCTAATATCTCACAGAAATCTTATCGAAATTTTGAAGTTCGACCTGTACAGAAGAATAGAAAGAAGCAAATCAGTTATTAAAAGAGACGATGTTTAAAATAAATGAATTTTTGATAGGATTGCTCATAAAATAAATGCTAAGCTTGTTCTTCAAGAAATTAGAATTAGACAACTTGATTGTTGTGGTAAACAATCCTGATAACGGAAGACTCCTTTGACTCACAATAGTCACATTTATTGCTTCTTTATTTAGTATTGTATTTTTATTTATTTTTTTATTAATTTAATTTTATTTAAAAAATTATTAAATTATATATAAAAAAGAATCTACAAATAACTTGCTTAAATCTAATTATTAAAATTAAAAATTTCTTAAGTTTTTACAATATATATTATTAATCAATCATAAAAAATCAAATACTAATTTACGGATCCCCATAATGTTCTTGAAAGAGATAATATTCTTCTACCCAATTTAAAACAAGCTACTAAAAACCAAAATATAAACATTATTCCTTATTAAGTTAAAAAAAAAAAAATTAGTATAACTTATTATTAAATATTTATAGCAAAAACTGTAAATAAATTATTGTATTTACCAGCAAGCACATAAGACAACATTAAGTAAAATATATCTAACAAAGGAGATTTTCCACTTTCTGAAACTAGGATGTGAATATTATCTTCAAGAATTTTTAGCTAACAAATTATTAGAGTTAGATAGTGCGATAATTAAAATTTAGGAAAACATGTAAGAACAGAAGTAATGATCAATTACAAACCTCATGAAAGTAATCATGATTCACAGAGAGTGAAATATCTTCAAATTTTTCAAACATAGCTTTCATTTCATCAGAAATGCTATTCAAATTAATATTAATATTAATATTAATATTATTATTATTATTATGATCAAATCTACACTCTAGAAATGATACCTGTTATGTTGAGTTTTTAATTTATTTGCTGTATTCTCAATATTGATCAGTGAACTATTCAAGGATTTTGTCTTCTCATCAATATTTTTTTTCAATTCATACACCATGGGTGTGTGATATCCTTTAGTAGTTAGACTTTGTGATGAAAATGAACGACAATTATTTTTAACTATAATGTCTTCTCTATCTAATAGAATTTGCTTTAAATAATATTTAATATAAATAAATTGTGTGATTAGCATATATATACATAACGGATATTAAATACCTCATGTTTATTCAACAATTCTTTTGCTTCTTTGATATAATCATCACATCGCTCAATCAACAAAGATGTTTCGTTCTGATTAATTCTAAAGTTCAAAATTTATGAAAACCATGATAGATCGGTCTCCAATTTAACAATATGAAAAAAAAACAATTATCAAATATATATACCTTTTCTGATTATGAGATACATCTCCAACAAGAGATATCCGGAGATCATATAAAGTTTTATCTAATTCAAACCTAGACCTACTTTTACGGCGAACAAATTTATTAAACTTGAAATCATCATTTGACCTGATATTTAATTCCACTAGAAAATGTATATAATGAGTAACTTAATGTGGGAAAGAAATACTTGATGCGTGTGACACACATACCATATCGACTATTATCTTTTTGGTATAGTTTCCTTAAATTTGGTGGAAGAACGTCAAGATCGACATTAATTGTTTCATCAATATCATCATCTAATTCATCGTCATCTTTAGTGTCCTCTAATAGCGGATAAATTTTGTTATCTTCATATTAAAAAATATTATTATTACTAGTATGAATTTACATTTATAATAACCTTCAGATTCAGAACTACTGTCTATAATTTTATTATTTACATTTTCATCTTCGCTGAGTTTTTTGAGATGATCTTCAACATGTAAAGCTTCGGATGTAGAATGCTTTGATTCCGAAGATAAATAAATATCCATTTGGGTATTCTTTTCGAAAAAAATCATTGTTGAACATATTTAGTTAGATTAATAGTTTTTTTTTAGGGTTAATGCAAGAGTTATTAATAAAAATATATGAATGAATTTTAGTAGACATGGATTTAAATGGGGACTCTAAATTTCTGCATCAACCAATTTCAGCATAAACCGCTGGAATAAATTATACTAAGAATGATAATTATTAACATACTTTAATCGAGTCGAATTCCATAGAATGCCTCGCCGAAGAACCATTGCTAGAACCCGCATACATAGAAGTGTCATCAGAAAGCACGATCAAGGTGTCACGATTTGGTTTTTTGAGCATTTCATTGTCATATTTTACACCATACTCAGCCAAGTCATTATTCATTATCTCCTTAGAATTATATACATTTACATTATTTGAAATGCTTAGGAAATCTTTATCTTTTTCAGGTAAAGGTCTAACATCTTCAGAAGAACTTTTAGGAGATGGATCACCCGAAGACAAATTAATTGTCGGGAAAGATGAAGAGCGATCCACTAATTCTTTGATTGCTCCAACCTGACCATCACCATTGTCATCAATTTCTGTATCAGATCGACCTCGTTTATTATGTTTCCTATCTTTACGCTTGAATATACTTAATAAACCCCTTTTAGATTTACTTTGATGATCATCTTTGGTTAAAGGTGACGTGATATCTTCATTCAAGCTCAAAGTTCTCGAATGTTTTCCACCACGACGTCCACCTTCTGTTGGCAGTCTCGATTCTTCTTTCTCTTGTGATGGAGGAATAAAAATTTGGGATAATCTACGATAAGGTAAATTTTTTTTGGTAGTAACAGGTTCAGACCCCATATGAAGTAGGGAATTTTGAGGTACGTGATCAACATTATTATAACTAGAACTTTCTAAATCAGAGTTCTTAAAAGAAGTAGACATATCACTAATGTTATTTCTTTGTTCATAATCTTTTATAATTTCCATGTGCGTAACGTGCCATGGATTTGGCGTTTTTCGCCGGGAAGCAGAACCACCAGTTTTTCCACGATTTATTGATTGACGAACTTTATTAACAGATATCGAACTATGGTCATTTATTCCCTCATTATTAACATCGACTTTTCGATTTTTAACAACCAAAAGAGGATTATATACATCATTATTATTAATAATCTTAAATACTACGTGATATTTATTTTCGAGATATTGTTTGCACATTCTAGAATTGGACAAAGTGGTCTCAGATGGAAAAAAACCATAATCCTGAGGTGCTAAAAAATGATTAATATTTTTTTAAGATATAAAATTCCAAGCAAATAAACATATATGAATGTAAAATTCAGAAAATACCATCAATGCGCGAAAAAGATTTTTGACCCACCGATTCTATACCATTGAAACTATGATGTTTTTGATTTAAATTTTTTTGTGTCGCTTGAATTAATTTTAAGGCATCTTCATCTTTCACGTCAGCTATTAATTTTGCAATGGATTCTTTGTAATGGAGCCGATAAGAATTTAGTATCATTGATACAAGTACCGTAACAAAGTTAATGCAAATGGAATAGGTAATACCTTTTCCACCATCATCGCCCATTAAACTTCCAAAACCTTTTCCAGGATTAGAAGTTCTTTCCTTATCTAAATTCATTATATAGAGATCCTTTGATATACAACTAAGAAAAAATTGGATTGCGAGAAAGTTTTTGTTGGTCCCGATTTAAGAGTGAACATAGCAGAACTTACTATGTTCAGGTGAAATGCGGGTTATCCAATCAATATTCAATAAGATTTCATGATCATGTGTAACATGACTATAAATAGCGATAAAGTTTGATTGGATGTTGTTGAATTTGATTCTCTCTCATAGGTGTTTAAAAGAGAGTGTAATGTTGTAGGTTATTAATGGCTATAACTGGAGCGCAAGGTGCATGTATAGAGGATGAGAGCTCATAAAACGTGTACTTAGAGATCTCTTTTCATTCAATTAAAAAATTCTACTTCTGTATTCTCCCCATTAGCTGAAATCGTAAAGGAAGCAAACTATTTAGCAAGGAGTCTTTCACGTTAACTTATAATTTAAAATTTTTCATATATTAACATTAGGAAAATCCTAATGGTTCTACGTCCTCGAAAGTTAGTATTATTTTAATGTCGCGGAGGATGCTAAATACAAGTATGTATAATACAGTATATAGACTAATTTTTTATTATATACATACAAATATTACTTTTTGGCCATTTTAGTTTGCTATATTTGTACTATCTTCTTAACTGCAAATATTTATCAAAATGTTTATCAAAACTTATTTATATAATACAACCTTTATACGTACTATGTAACAAAGCTTTTGTAATATAACTATTACAATAATACGTATCAATCAATTTTTTATAATTGTATTTAAATTTGTATTTAACCTTAGTCAACCCATTTTAAGTTTACTTCTAAATAAGTTATTATTGGATAAACTGGTGTTTTACACCTATTATGTTTTTATTATATTTCTATATTTTTTTTAATAAAGTTTTTTACATTAAGGTTAGTATTTAGGGTTGGGTTAAGATTTGAGAAGAATTTTTAGAGGTGCAGAACATTTTACTTAGAATAACTCTCACTGATTAATTAGCTAGTTTTTGAGATAACGTATACATAGGTGTGAAACACCATAGGTGCGTTTTAGTAAATGTCTTGATTTTTCTTATTACCGGTAAAAGAAATTAAATATAGTAAGTTTTATTCATAAGATTTCAAGATATTACTGTATAATATGTTAATATTTCTTGATACAAAAATTTATATTTTTTTATATATTCCCTATTTTTACCACCGTAATTGTTTTTATGGAGATTTACGGCAATGACTTAAACTCGGTAGAGAAATATCATCGGCTGTCAATTAGTATAGTGTATAAAACGAGATAATAACGTATTTATTCTGAAAAAAATAATGCTAATGATATTACAGTAATATATTAAGCTGAATAGCTTATTTTTAAATATATAAATTGATTGATGTTAATATTAATAAAAGTCGACTAGCTAAATTAATACTAGCTTGTTATGATCTTGACATAGTGATTGGGAGATTATGGGCACGTATTAATCGATTTTAAATAATCGATTTAAGCTTATAGCATTTACTATACCTTATTTATTCATGTTAAATTAATTAGCTGTTAGTGAGTATAATAACCATTTACAAATTGGTTTATTTAAACTAAGACACTTTATTAAGGGTGAGCTTTTAATTAATCTTACTCGCACTAATTTATTAGAAAGTATTATTAATCTATATATTTAATTAAAGATTTACTATACTACAGTATATTAAAGTTAATCAAATTGATTTATCTAAATTAATTAATGCTTTTATTATATAGCATAATTTGATTAAGTTTGCTAATCCTGTAATCACTTGTTTAAATAATCTTACAGTTTATATTATTAATTATTGTTCATTAATTTATCCAAGATAAAATGTTCTAATACTCTGCAATAAATAAATTAGAGTTTAGGGAAAAGCTTGAGTAAAGTAATAATGAAATATTTTAAAACAAGAAAGATACATCTATGAACCAAATAAGGATAAAATTTTGCCTCCATTTTAATAATATAACATTCAATTACGCAACAGCCCATTACATGACTCTTTTTTAATGCATCTCACTTTACGTAAACTTGATATCATTAAAAATGTCACAAGCGTAAACATAAGAGACATGTAAAATGTAAAAGGACTAGCTGGGCAAAATATGCTGCTAAAAACTAGTATTTGTTCAACACGTTTAAATGATTTTTAACTGAAAAATAGCATCAATATCACATGATATAGTGAAATAAGTGTAATTATTTATAGTAATTGTCGTCAAGCTCATCTTTGGGATAATTTTATTACTTCAACGTATCGACTGTTTCTTCAATATACGTACGCACTGCTTTATTGTATATGTTTCAAGATATCTATCATATCTCATATTTCGTAATTATAATTTCTTTGAAGTAAATTTCTAACGCGTTTGAGCATTTATAGTATCTATTCAGAAATTTGAGTCCTATAGAAAAATATATTTCGTGATTCCTATTATTACATTTTTTGCGATTGATTAGGATAGATTGTCGAACAAATAAAAGCTGTGTAAATGATATACATTGTTTTTCACTCTTTACTGTATCTTAAATATTTTTAAATATTTTCGGTTTTTAATCTTGTATTTATTATATAATGTTGCGTGATCTTTCTCTGGTTGTAACCGGTTCTCGTATTCTTACTTCTAATTCAACCGATCCTTTACCTGCTACAATTGAAATTGATAAAAATGGACGTATCAGTGCTTTTATCTCTAAAAAATCAACCATCGATTCTTATGATTTTCTAGAAAATAATAAATTCATTGATGCTGGTGATAATATTGTTATGCCTGGAATTATTGATGCTCATGTTCACTTGAATGAACCTGGTAGAACTGATTGGGAAGGTTTTGAAACTGGGACTAAAGCTGCTGCTGCGGGTACTTTTTTGTTTGTAAAATATTAAATAAATATATACTTGAATTCAATTCTGTTTTTATCTATTATTTTTTTATATGAAATGTTAGGTGGAGTAACCACTGTTATTGATATGCCATTAAATTCAATTCCTCCAACTACTACCGTTGATAATTTCAAGCAAAAATTGAATGCTGCCAAAGGGAAATGCTGGGTAGATATTGGGTTTTATGGTGGAATTATTCCAGGAAATCAGGTTATAAATTATTTTATTTAAATATTTTATATAAAAAAATATATCTTATACAAAAAATTTATTATTATTTTTAGAATGATTTAATTCCTTTAATAAACGCTGGCGTCAAAGGATTTAAAGGTTTTTTAATAAATAGTGGAGTAGATGAATTTCCTTGTGTAAATGAACAAGATGTTAGGAATGCGTATAAAAAATTGCAGGAAAGTTTCTAAATTATTAATTAAATCTCAAAAATTAATTTTCTTCTTAAAAAAATAATAATTTCTTTACATAATAAATTTTTTTTTTTTCATAAAAGGGTCAAAATTCATTATTTATGTTTCATGCCGAAATGGAATCTAGTGACGATGATAATAATAATAAGTCTCTTGAAACATTAGATAAAACCTCTTATAATAGTTTTCTTAAATCTCGACCACAATCTCTTGAACTTAATGCCATTTCTCTTGTTACCCGTCTTGCTAAGGAATATAGTACTGTACGCACTCATATTGTTCATTTATCAGCTTCAGATGCTATTGATATGATTCGTAAATCCAAATCCGATGGTGTTCCATTAACTGTTGAAACTTGTTTTCATTATTTGTGCCTGTCTGCTGAAGAAGTACCATTAGGTAGGACAGATTTCAAATGCTGTCCTCCTGTTAGAGAAAAAATAAACCAAGAGAAACTTTGGCAAGTGAGTGAATGATAAGATTTGATTAATAAAGCATAAAATTATAAAAATTCATAAATGCATGATCGCTAATTCTAACATGATTAATTGTTATTAAGGCTTTGCTTGATGGTACAATTGATAGTGTTGTGTCTGATCATTCTCCATGCACAGCAGAACTTAAGGGTTTGGATAAAAAAGATGATGAAAGAGATGTTATTAAAGCTTGGGGTGGCATTTCTACTTTGCAACTTGGATTACCAGTATTATGGACTGAAGCGAAAAAACGTGGATGCAGGTTTGACTTCATTATGTTTATAAACTATTACATATCATATTTTCTTTGTGTAACATTCTTTTATTATTATCTAGTTTCCATAATTTATATACATGGTTATCAAAAAATACTGCTAAACAAGTTGGCTTACAAGAAAAAAAGGGTGACATTAAAGTAGGACATGATGCTGATATTGTAATTTGGAATCCTGAGGAAACTTTTGTGGTTAGTTTATTTCTTACAATTCTTTTTATTGTAAATATCATTTCGTACATTAATATATATATATATATTCTAATAATAAGGTTACCAAAGATATTATTCAATTTAAAAATAAGGTTACACCATATATGGGAAGAACTCTTTATGGTGTAGTTAAAAAAACAATTGTAAGAGGGAATATAGTATATGATGCCGAAAGGGACGGTGTTATCAATATTCCACATGGTAGTTTCTTGGTTTAAATTTTTTAATAGAAAATTTTATTTGACAAATTCCTTTTATGTAATACTAGTCCCAATACTGTATTATGTATAACACATATCTATTCAAATTAAATAAAATTCTTCATTATAGCTTTTAAGCCTGTTTGATAGCTAACATTGATTTTACACTACTTTGCCTACATTTATTTTACATGTCAACATGATTCACAATTATATACTTAATAGAATTATAAAAAAAACTAATTTTAAATAACAATTTAATAAATTTAATATCAAATCAACTCCACATAGTTAGCTGTAGGTATAAAAGAGAATAAATACTAGGTAAAAAAAACAAAAAACTTGAAAAATTGCTTTATGAATTAATTACCTGGGAAAAGTCCGACTGCACCATCTGATGTTGTACCCTGCCACCAATCATCCGATACGAAATCAATTTCAGTAATAATATCATCTTCCCTAAATGAAATTTCATTATCTTCACCGGCATCATAATCATAAAGGGCTTTAGCCGATTTTCCAACAGTTTTCGTAGGCTCAGGTTCAGGTTCAAGCTCAGGTTCAGGTTCAAGTTCAGGCTCAGGTTCAGGTTCAGGCTCAGGCTCAGGCTCATACTTTATATAAGAAAATATTAAATTTTAGACCTAATGTTTGATAACATTTAAATCAGTTAAAATTAACTATTATTACCGTTTCAATTTCACTCTCAATAAGCTCCACGTAATTTGCTTTATTTATTGCATAATCAATTTAGTACAGTAACAAAAAGACTTTTCTAAAAAATAAATATAACTTACCGGGGAATAACCCAGCGCGAGAACCATCTTTACTTTCGCCTTGCCACCATCCTTCATCTACTTGGGTGATTTCTACAATTATTTCACCTTCCATTAACGACATTTCGTTATCCTCGGCTTTAAAATAATAATAATAAAGATATTAAAAAAAAAAATGTCTTCAAAAAAAATACATGAAATATAAAAGAAATAATATGCAAACCAGCATCATAAGGGTAAAGAACACGTGCTGAAAAGGTCTTGGATTCTGTAGTTCCAGAAATCTAAATTAACATGTAAGGATACATAAATTTTCATAAATAAAACTAACAGGTTTCGATAATATTAAGTATTGCTTTGAAGAGATGGATACTACCTCGGCATTTTCCAATTCTTGCTGGCGAAGTAGCTCCTCCTCCTGCAAATATTATATATAGATATATAAATAAAATTTCATTATTCGTAAAAAAAAACAAAAATTAATTAAGTTATATTAAAAGCCACATACTTCTAGTCTCAAGCGTTCCTCTTCTTCCTCTTTTTGTCGCCTTAATCTTTCCTTTTCTGTACGTTCTTTTTCTAATCTTCCTTGTTCTTCTCTTGCTTTCCTAGACTGTTGTTCAGCTCTTTCCAATTCCAATTGTTCTTGTTCAGCTCTATCCTGTTCTTCACGCTCGAATTGTTCGCGTTCTCGTTCTTCACGTTCCAATTGTTCGCGTTCCCATTCCTCACGCTCTAATTGTTCACGTTCCCGTTCCTCACGTTCTAATTGCTCACGTTCGCGTTTCTCACGACCAGCATTTTCACGTTCCTGTCGCAAGCGTTCTTGTTCTTCGCGTTTTGCTTTCTCACGTTCAGCTTTTTCACGATCCTCACGATCTCGTCGATATTCTGAAGCAGGTGGCTCTGTTTCTTTTCCTGCATTTAAAAACGCCAAACGTGCACTATTAATTGGTTTTGGTTTTGGAGGTTGTACAGGTTGATATGTGGAGCGCTTTTATCATCAAATTGATTGATCAATACAATTATACGTAGAAATACATAAACAAGAAAAAAAAAAATTTATGTACATACGACAGGTTCAATTTTTTCTTGAGGTGCACTTCGTTGTAATTCAGTTATATTTGGTATCTGAACAGGTTGATATGTGGAGCGCTTTTATCATCCAATTGATTGATCAATACCATTATACGTAGAAATACATAAACAAGAAAAAAAAAAAAAATTATGTACATACGACAGGTTCAATTTTTTCTTGAGGTGCACTTCGTTGTAATTCACTTATATCTGGTACTTGAACAGGTTGATATGTGGAGCGCTTTTATCATCCAATTGATTGATCAATACCATTATATGTATAAATACATAAACAAGAAAAAAAAAAAAATTTATGTACATACAACAGGTTCAATTTTTTCTTGAAGTGCACTTCGTTGTAATTCACTTATATCTGGAACCTGAACAGGTTGATACGATGATTTCTACAACGATGAAAAAATGTACACGAACAAAAATATCCATCATATTCCGAGATATATTTATATAATTGAACTTCATGCTATTGCATATGTAGGCATTTAACAATTATATCATACCAATGGTTCGACTTTCTCTTGAGGGGCGCTTCGCCTCAATTCATTCATATTTGGTACTTTAATAGGTTCGTAAACTGATCTCTATATAACAAAAATACATGTAATAATTGAAGCAAGAAGTCCAAACTTTTTTGTATGTAAGATTTTACGTTATTATATTATGTTGCACATCAATTTAGCTTTATATCAAGTTAAAATAACCATAGATTCTACTATTATAGTATAACTTCGCCTATAAAAAATTAAAACAGATAATAATAGAAGTATAAAGTGCATACCACAGGCTCGATTCTCTCTCGAGGGGCCTTTCGTTGCAATTCAGTAATATTTGGTATTTTTTCAGGTTGATATACTGATCTCTACATCAAATAAAACAATGCATTAATAATTTTAAATAGTTTCTCATTCGAATTTGAATGAATTTTGAATGAATTTTGAATGAATTTGAATTAAATTTTAAATAAATAATAATATACCACTGGTAAAATAGGCTCTGGCTTTGGTGGGGGAGCATTCTTATTAATATTAATAGAATATTTAGATCCACCACTTTCATCGATACGCTTCATTATATATGATGGATCAATATCACTCTAAAAAACAGAAATCATAAAAATAAATATCAATAAATAAAATAAATAAAAATAAAGGAATATAATCGTGATATTTCTTACCTCAGACCTAGCATTTATTTTGAGATGATACCCCTGTTAAAAAAAATAAAAGTAAAATAAATTCAAGATCATAACTACTACTCATTACTTTAAATACAAAATCACAAACCTTTAAAAATTCGGAAACTTCATTCAAATGTGAATTAAAAAATCCTTTTTTCGCTTCCGGTACACCATCACCACACTTAAATATGCGAAATAATATTATAATTATTTGGTTAAATACAAAGAATTGTACAAATTTTTGAATAAGCTGTCGGATTAATACATACCCAACCAATAAGCACAATCTTAGCTAATTCCGTGTTGGGATCCTTTACTTTCACATATGCATATTGAATTTTGCCATCATCAAATTCCTCTTGTAATTCATCAAGTCCTCTATCTATGAATTATGTAAATTTTTTTGCTTTAAAACTCGAAAAAAATTTATTAAAACTAGAAAAACGAATTTGAAAATTATGACCATACCTCCGGTGTTCAAAACCTTTAGATCATTATTTCCTCCTTTTTCATAACTATAAATTACCCATTTATCTATATCACCATCTCTAACTTCTTTATAAGCTGACGAAAGTGCTTGAGAATGTTTGTTGAAATTCACGGAAAGACTCATGTTTGAATTTAAAAATTAAATCGGATGATCTTATATATATTATTCGGGCTATTGCTTAATTACTTTATTAGGAAAATTTTTCAAATTAAGTGATGCGAACGCCTGTTAAGGATAAAAATCACGAGGCAAAGTTGCATAATTTAGGCCATTTCACATAATAATTCGCATACTAGGCTTTTTGGCCAATGAAAAAGCTAGGGTTTGGAACCGGCATATTTTTCACTAGCCAAACTGGTTTGATCGGTTAGCATATGAAAAATAAAACCGGACAAATAACCAATCACGGCACTTCAAATAATTTTCTTTGATCATATTGGTTCAATTTTAAATGGTTTATTATGTACACATATCAGATATACTGTATATTAATATACAAGATAAAAAACCTAAATAGATATTTAAAAAATGTTAATTATTCGCGCAGTTTTTAAATCATAAATAATAATGATTTCAGAAAATATTTTTTGCACATTTCATGGTATAGCGCATAATATGTGCTAAAAATCGCATAATTTGCATAATTTACAATTTGTCGCATGCATAATTTGGCCATCCTCGCAGGGGAGCGCAACACATTTCATGGTGAGGATCTATAAAGACTATCGATTATTCCACAATACCTAATACCATATAACGCACTATATATAAGATTATATCCAAGCCTAGTTTTATTCGAGTTTTTATATATTTTATATATATAGCAATAGTTTTTTTTATACTTTTATATAGACCTTTTTTACAGTACAAATAATAAATATTTTATCCGTCAAATTAACTCTCAAAATCGCACAAAATCGTTTCAAATTGATCACAAAATTTACGTTAGCCCGCCACAAAAAATCATCGGCCCTGCCCGGGTTAGAGCAATTTTCGACCCGTGACCCGTACTGGTCAACCGACCCGGGTAATAGCTCTAGGGCCAGAGATGCCCCAGAAAAATACGCGGGATATACGACTTCACGCGTTTTGCTGATTCAGGGGCAGAAAAACATGTGAAATGCGCGAAATACGCACTTCATCAATTATATTAATCAAAACAATACACGTTATATTTATCAATCAAAACAATACACGTCATATTTATCAGACATCAGAAAAAAAGTATATAAGAAAATTTTTCTTGTTTAACTTTAACGCAATCCCCTTTGAAGTACCTTTTTTTTGCAAGCTTCGGTCTACTAGTCCTGCATGAGGGATTAGTTATGTAACTTCCTAGAACTGCTTAAAAAAGGTATTACTGTCAATTAAAAACTATCCTTTGTTAACCCTAAATAATCAAATACGCCGTGTTTCTTCGTGTTGTTTTTCGAAAAATGAATCCACATGGGTATGAGTCTCCCGGGTTCATTTAAAAATTCAATTTCTTCGAATTTATTCGGAAAAGAGCTTAAGAAACAATATTTTATCTTCGTTTTTCTTTAGAATTTAGAATTTATTCGAAAAAGAGCTTAAGAAACAATATTTTATATTCATTATTTAGAATGATTTACTTTTCTTGAAAGCTTCCTTGGACTCCCGACCTAAGGTCTCTTAAATACCAAAAGAAGGTATTGGTAGGACCCTTCCTTAGGTAGGCAAGGAAGCTGGGCGCTATTGAGGTTTATGGCGGCTTCTTTGTAACGTTAGCCCTTTTACTTAACATAAAATATGCCGAACTCTAGGCCTTTGAGAACTTCTTTGGGCGAGAAGGCTCCACAAGAGCCATGAACGATTATCCATGTTATTGGACAATGTTGTTCATGTAGTCCATCGCGTGATCATCCCCAGTGGTAACGTTCACCCACAGAAATGGGGATACAACTTCGGGTTGTTACAAACCTAGTTATAAGGATACACCGTTACGTGGTGACTAGGATAAGTAAGCTAATATTTTTTAGCTGAAACTAAGTATCCTATTAAATTTTTATTTTATTTTATTTTATTTTTTGAGTTTTCGATTAATATTAAAAATTAGTTTTTTAAATTCGTGCAGTATAATATTGTATTAGTATTAACTTATTAAAAAATAAATTATGTAATTCGAAATAAAAAATTAATTTATTAATAAAAATTTAATATCAAATAAATCAATAAATATTAATAAAAATAAATAAATAAAGTTTCAAGTTTTTTATTAATAATTTTTAAAAGTAATTTGTGAGTTTTTGAAAAAACTGGCTTTCACTTAATTGACTAAGTAAAAAACATTTAAGAAACAACAATTTTATGATTCTAAAATTCAAAATCCATTGAAGCAATTTGAATCCACAAATCTATTCGATACCACTCTAGAATAGAGCACAAGTTAAGGCCTGGGTATATACTTAATATTATTTCTTGAAGAAAGCAAACTAAATAAACACAACTCAAAGTATCACTTCGGGTTTCTACTTTTAATAAATAAAAATACGAGTAATTTATCGCAATGTAATGTATTAATCGATAAATTAGAAATAAACAACTTATCTTAATTTATGAATGACTAAAGATGCTCTCAAATATCTCCTCAATGTGATTTGCTAATTGAAGCATTGTTACGAAAATTTTTGCTGAAGATTCATAGTGTGAAATGCGGGTTGTAAACTTTAGCCAATAAGCGTAACTCTATGGTAAGTTTCGGCATCTTTTCTTCATTGTGATGATGAACTCATTTGACCAGCTAAAATATTTCCATTAATTAAAAAATTGAGTTCCGATCTATTAATTTAAATGCTTGAGAGTACACCAATTTCACCAGTTTCACCAATAGTAGTGAAATTATTTCACCAGCATCTTTACTTAAGTCTCTGCAAAGTCATTGACAAGGCCGCAAGAGTTGTAGGAAAATAATCATCTGGACAAGTTTGCTAAAAAAAAACGAGCTTCATGTTAGAATGGATAGTAATATTTTATAAAGGCTTAAATTCGATACGTACCGGTACTACTAGAACAATGATTTTTTTTTTAAATTTATTGTGTACAAGTGAAAAAGAAAGTATAAATAAGGTTAGTATTCCATTTGCGGCTCAAATATTTTTAATATAAATACGATCGTTGTTCTGAACGAAATAAATGAAGCGGTATACTCAAAATCAAGAATCAAGATCTAGATCTAGATCATTATCTAGAGAATGATACTATCATGCATTTTTTCGCCCAAAAAAAAAAGAATAATTCTTGATTCGAATGCTTAAACTCGAATGTACCCGAGTATGAAGGAGCTTTTTGAGAGAGGTAAAAACATCAATTTCGTTCCTTTTCTCAATCAAACTTCGAACTACGTGTATTAATGCATGTAATACGTAACAGTTGTACAAGAGTGTCCTCGAAGATTGTTTCTGATTGGCTGATCACCTCACGATAAACCCGAGCTTTTCGAAAATATTGTTTTCGCAATTTCTTAATTATGCAACAGGATACAGTTGACATAATTAGCGCTACTAAAAGAACACTATCAGAATTATACGAGAACTCTCTCGAGATTTCAAGGAATATAGCAAATAAACTTGATGATCCTTCTGGACCAAGGTTCATATTTTCTTGGCTTTATGTTTACTATACATTTCTTTAACGAATTACGCGTTTTCTTAGTACAAAACAAATTAAACTTGCTCCTGATCAGTCCGTTGGCTCTACACTGCCAGATCAAAAATTATATCGTCCACTCAACAAAGATGATTTTATGAGTCGACTTGCTACATTCAAAATATCCTTTTAATGTTATATTAAGGAAGCATTATAAATTTAATCAGCTTATTTTTAGACTTAACATTCGTTGCACGAATTGACATGGGCATTTAAACCAGATTGTTTGAGTCCTGTGGAATGCGCACGACATGGTTGGACAAATGTTGGTAAGGATTGGCTTAAATGCGAATATTGTGATGAACAAATGCTTGTAAAATTGGGTAGTCTTGAACTAGGTAGGATCCATTTCCACGGCAAATCTTAATTTCAATATAATGAAAACCGTTCTGAATCTCTTTTTCCGTCAAGAGGAACATTTAAAAAAACAATATCAAGAAGGATTAGTCACAGTACACTCAGCTACGTGTCCATGGCGTGAACGCCAATGTGATGGTATGTATTTTTTGTAATCGTTAATTTAATGTCACATCCATCTTTCCATTGATACATATTTTCTATTTTATGTTGTGATTGGAATTCCCAATTCAGTCTCTATATATAAATTCCCAATTCTTTTGGATCAAGTTGTCAAAGAAAATTTTCAATTACGGGCATTTCCCTTGATAAAACTCGGTGATAAATTACCAGTAATTAAGGCTGAGATGGTATTGTCCAAATTATTAGTGTTATTATTATTCATGTTAATTGATCATTTGTTAACTAACTTACATGTATTTTTCTTATTAGACTGAAGAATTCATTCAAACTATGGCATCGGCGCTTTCTTTAGAAAATGATAATAATGTTGGCTCTATCGTTGTTGGTTCTGCTGCATGCTTGGCTTTATTTGGATGGGAATACGGTTATTTTGAAGGATTAGAGGTTTTGCAATGCAAGGCGTGTTTTCGTCGTTGTGCTTTGATACATTATCGTAGCATCGCGCGAAACAAGGAAATTCAAAACGAACTGGAAAATGTGGAGCAAACGGGCAATGATAGGGAAATAGGTGAGCACGTTGTAAAAGATACTGAAAAAAGCCATACCGCAGCAAACGTTGATGATAAAGTGGAAGGATTAGTACAAAATTTAAAGAACCTAATCTTTGATACTGAAACTCAACATCATTGGTATTGCAATTGGATTACTGGAGATGGTAGATCAACGACAAACAAAACATCAGAAGAATTGGCCAAAAGACACCCCGGCTGGAGCATTACATTGGAGAGCATTTTAAAATGTACTAATTCTGTTACATCGGACGATCCATCCGCTGCTAAGGTTCGGATTTTATTTATTTATTTATTTATTATGCATATATTATTCACTTTGTCAATACCGTCTATGCATCTTACTAGTCGGACAATAAGTTTAACGATTTCAAAAATACGTTGTCCCCACGACCTCAACAGTCATGATAATAGTAAATAGACTACTTAGTTTGTAATTTTATTCTGATTTAATTGGCTATTGAGGCAAATAAACGCTTGTCATATAAATTCTTAGATTTGTTTTGAATCAAAAATAACAATTAATTTAAAACAGTTATGGTGCAGGACATTTAATCACATCAAAGCGCTGAAATTTGAAATGTATATATGATTATATATGAGAACGCTGAATTTTAAGATTTATATAATAGTTAATAGTGCCGAAATTTTTAAGAGAGATTGAATAAAAAAAATAATAATTTATGATAATTAATTTATTAAAATTTTTTATAATACAAACGCTGAATTTTTGACCTTTATTAATAAAATAAAGCGCTAAATTTTTAAATTAAATCAACTTTTCAATAGAAAGTTTTTTTAAAAAACTTTCTATATTTATATTCTTTAGGTCTTAAACAATATAATTATAGAAAGATTTTCTTAAAAACCATTTTTAGTAAAAAGTTATTAAACTTTTATTGCAATCAATTATTTTTGATGCGATTAGATGTCCTGCACCATACCTGTATTATCTATTAAAATATTGATCATTTTGCAAAATTAGAAAACTTTTTTTGCTTATAGCTCTTTGCAAAAGCTTATTTATATCGTTTAAAGCGTAATGTTAACAACTTTACTACACGCATTACATAATTAATACTAATCAAATCAATATGACTAGAATGTCCATCAAGCATAAGTAAAACTGGTCTAAAAAGTTAAAATGATTTATTAAAATGTTCAATAATCTGTACGTGCTTCACCACGTGAGAATTATTATATATAGTGTTATAAAATAATAATAATATGTATATTTTTCTTGTTACATTTATTGTAGAAAAATTTGTAAGTAAAAATTTATGTTATGTCTAATGCTTGAGATTCAAGTGTG